TTGTAGCAAAGAATTAGTTGCTCTAACAATTCAAGTTAATTAAGACAACAAATTCTGATAAATGCATGGTTTTTATTTTAATACAATAAAAAAAATGCAATTCTTGAATTATTGAATAATGCAACAATAAACGTATATAAAATTTTTATTTAAAGTGTTACTTAAACGTATTAAGATCTTCATAGTACGCAGAATGCGGTTGCAAGGTTAGAGCCCAGACACAAGCTTTTGCATAACGTATAACGCATAGTGCATAAGAGAATCAACTAATCGAAATTCTTCTTTTCCATGGATGGGAAGAAAGGAAAAATTCTGATTAGTTGATTCGTTTATGCACTATGCATTAGGCTTTATGCAAAAGTCTGTGTCGTGGCCTTTAGAACCTAATTATACGTCACATATAGACACTGGACATAAACACAGGATGCACTGAAGTTAAATTTTCGCGTTCTACGTTCTGCGTCTTACAGCCAAAAATATGTGTGTTACGCAAGTCACACTATGTCTATAATTTTGCAACTTGAGACCCGCGTTCAGCATGCTATGTAGATTACAATATGTATTGCAAACAATTAAATTAATTATTTCAACTGAACTAATTTGTTGCAATAACAATGATAATATTACCAAAGATGAGTTTGTTATATGATGATGACTGCTTTACAGACATAAGTTCTTTGTGAACCACCAAATTTTCTTAATTACAGATGTTGAAGTCGCGTAGCAAGCTATAGCTTTGCTGAATCAACAAATCTATTTTTTTCCGTGTAAATGCCTAAGTAATTCACATCGAATTATTTGGGCATTTAAGATCCAGCTTCAATCGGTATAGACATTTTTTTAGTTCATATTGATTACATGTATGGTTTAAAATGAGATTCTTAATATCGATAATTTTCTCATAGGATAAAGAACTGGTTCAACAACTCTGATTCACTCTGTATATAATCAGCTTGAAGTAAAGAATCTTCAGTTACCACTCGATCAGTGCATGTGTAATATCTCATCCGAATCACTTTTGATATTCCCATGCCAAGGTATAGTTATCCATTATCTTGTTAATTTTTTAACAATAATCGAGAGGATGCTGTTTTCAACTTTGATTATGCACTATTTCTTTGACATTAATTTTGTTTCAATTATTACAGTCAAGAAATAAATATCTTTGCTTTAATAAATAGTAAAAGAATATTAAATAACATTTTCCACGTATACACTAACATTTTTAATTCATAATAAGATTCTATTTGAATTTATCAATATAATTTTTGTGTTGTTTAAATTTTTGCAAATATGAAAATCTTTGTTATACATTTAACTGTCAAAATTTTGTATTTTGATTTTTTGAAAATTATCTATCTGTCGCAATAAAGAAAAGCTTAAGTTATCTTGAAACAATATCTATTTTTTGTGTCACAATTCACGATAAAATTTAATTTATAACGTTACATGTTGTAATAATACATTTAAGAAATATTTAAATAAATATTTAAATAAACATCGTCTGAAAAGTTTTGAGCCTCATCATAAAGATGGCGTTACTCATCAAAGCCATTCTGGTATTATAATCGTGATACTTACAAAAGATATCTGTGACAATTGTGGCCACTTTGGACGTTCAGTTCTTGTTTGACAATCATTTGTGTCGTCATTTTGTAAAAATGGAAAAAATTGAATATCGTGCTATAATTAAATTAGTGCATTTGAAAGGCAATAGGTCTACACAAATTTAAGCCGAGTTGGACGCTGTTTACGGGGACTCTGCCCCATCATTTGCCACCGTGAAAAGATGGGTAGCTGAATTTAAACGTGGTCGTACCAGCTTAGATGATGATGAGCGTTCGGGACGGCCAACAACTGCAACCACCACCGATAACATCGAAGTAATTCATCAAATGATAATGGACAACCGTCGAATTAAGATTAGGGAGATAGCAGAGGCTGTTGGCATATCAAAAGAACGTGTTTGTCATATATTGACTGAAGAATTAGGCATGCGTAAGTTAACCGCGCGTTGGGTGCCACGCTTGCTCACTCTGGATCAAAAACGCATTCGAATGAACATTTCTAAGGCCCTGTTGGAGCGGTTTAAGCGAAACGAGTCGGATTTTTTGCGTCGATTAATAACGGTTGATGAAACTTGGGTCCACCACTTCACTCCTGAAACGAAAGAATAACCAAAACAGTGGACTGCGAAGGGTGAACCTGCTCCGAAGAAAGCGAAGACGGTTTTCAGGGATGGGAAGTAACTCGTTACTTGTAACGAAGTTACAGTTAGAGTTACTTTTTTTCAGTAACTGTAACTT